TTCCTGAATGTGTGCTCATGAGAGTGGGGTGTCTTTACGTTTTGTTCTCTTTTGCTCCTCAGAGGTCTAGAACAGTGTCTAGAGACTTAATAGGTACCTAGATACTGAGTGGATAGCGACCATATCTATTTCTAATTACCAGCTGCACTCAGTTTAAGCTTCTAAAGAACAGATGACATATGTTACCCACCATTATTGCCAGTACTTAGAACCAAATGCGAATCTTCTTGTACCTTGTTGAACAAGTTTCAAAGGTTGAATGAGTGAATGAACTGCACTGATCTTCCTCTCTAACCCAGGGGTCACAGTAAGGTCACACTGGTAAAAAAACACTGTAATTCTTATCTAAACTGTGTTCCTGCCTGTAATATCCACGCTTCCCTGGGATGACTAGCCTTCAGCTTTCAACACCAGTTACCTGTGTTTTGTGCTCATGGTTTACTTTCTCTGTCTTTTCTGTCAGCCTCTAACCAAGTATTTTCCATCTCCTTTTTTATTTTAAAATCTCTCAACTGTAGCCAGTTAATACCTTTATCCAGTCCTGTGTTGCACCTGATATGTTACAACTTTGTCTGCTTATTTTTTTGACTGTAAATTCTTATTGTTATGTTTGCAAACCAATTATAGTGATTGGGTATTTTGTGTTTCATACTACCTTCTTGATAAAAATTCCTGCATTGCATTGTAATCTTTGTAACATCTGTGTGATTTTTTTTAATTTTCATAAATACCAAAACTGAGGCTCAAATTCTTTAAATTATAATATAATTACATAATGTCCCCCCCCCATACCCTTTCCAACTCTGCCTGTCGGCCCCTTAAGTCCCTGGCCTCCTCTTTATATGATCTGTTTATATATACATCAATATGTTAATGCAACCTTCTGGGTCCGTTTAGTATTGTTTGCATATATATGATTTCAGGACTGACCACTTAGTATTGGATAATCAATTAGGGGTTCATCCCTGAGAAAGACTAATTCTCCTCTCAGCAGTTCTTAGTCCCCTCGAGTTCTTTGCCTGGAGGTGAGGCCCCCATGGAACTTTCTCCATTCATGTTAGCGTGTTTATTGGCATTGTCCTCGTTCAGGTCTTGTTTGGGCAAGTCTTACTGAGTTATCATGAGTAAAGTCTCCCTGTCATTTCTAGGAGACACACCCTCCCAGCAGATTTCCTGGTCCTCTGGCTCCTCCAATCTTCTGCCCCCTCTCTGCAGTGTTCCCTGTGAGACTCAAGGTTACTACGAGATTTTCTACTTGCACACCCCCAGTCTCTTTCCTAAAAAGTTGTAAAGTTGAGACATTTGATGGAAGTTTTCATTCTACTCAACGTTTTGTTACTCTTTTTCCCAAATCTCATGCTTTCTTCCAGAAGTCACAAAGAAATTAGAGAAAGCTGACTTATCTTTCTGTCTCTGTTGCAGAATCCACTCTTAGCTTATTCATTCCAGTCCGAGGTGAAGAGAAATACCTCTCCATGCTTTGTAAACCATCTTCTCTTTGCCAAGCCTTACTATGTAAAATGCCTAATATAAAAGGGTAGAATAGGAAACTTCAGACTCATACACACATCATGTATTGCCAGTGATTATTAACATGCTGCCTTGTCATGTTGCAGTTACATCCACAAGTTTCACGGTATTTCATATGTAGCCTTCTCATTTTATTAATTTCAACAGGTTTTCTGTAAAACTTTTCCTGTAAAATATATTTTCCCTATTTAGCAAAACGAGCAATACTTCCTTAATATTATAATTTTTTATATTGAAATTTCCAAATTATCTAATAATTATGTTTTATGGTTGATTTGTTCAAAATAAGCTAGTTGGTGACATCATCTTTAGAATGGCCTGAAAGGGATGAACCAGTGGCCTATAGAATGCCCCACCTGCTTATCTGGTTATGTCGCTTCCTTGTGACATCATTAGATTTAGTTTTCCATGCTTGCCGTTTTCTATATAGATGCTACATCTAAATGTTTTATTGCATTCATAAGAAACATTTTTAGTAAAAATATTACGTAGGGGAACGTTGTATCCCTTAGGACTCAGGACTCTAAAGACATTAAATGTTAAGGTATTCCCCACCTGTTTAAGGTAATCTCTGATCACTTGTTTAACATGGTGATTTCAGCTTGTATATACCTCCCCTAGCAATGAAAAAGAATTGTAGGGCATCATGACACTGTCTTGCTTCATTTACTAATTTTGTTTACTACAGCTGAGACCCTTTCTCAGGTTCCTGACACAATTACTTCCTTTATTTCGTAGGCTATTACTCTTGCTGACTTCCTGTGTTTTCACCACTTGTCTCTTTGTCTGGCTTACCTGTAAACTTAGGGCATCATTTGCATCGCGTTCCTCTAGTTGCCTTTTCTTTTCCTCTTTTTATCCCAAGGTCAAGAAAAGCTAACCGTCTATTTCTGTTGCTTTGTTTCCAGAGTTGTCTTTAGTCCACACCTCCCTTAGTCTTTCTACATGAGCTAATCCAATCCTATGACTACCACTATAAAGCTCTGCCTCTGATGTGGTGTTTTACTTCCTGGATAAGAATGCAAGCCATGCTCAGGAGATTTCCCCGCTCTCCATTTCAAACACTCGACTCTTCCAGTTTTCCCCATCTCCATGAAGGGTACTTAGTAGTTAATGCGCTTTATTTTTGTACTTTCATATATCAAACCTCAAACTTGAGCAACTTTAATCTTCTCAAAGCCCATTGGAATCTTTCTTGCTTCTGCTTGCTCTTATTTCTGACTAGAATGCCTTCCATCTTGCTTCTGAACACCTGCTCATCCTTCGAAACTAGGAGGCAGTGCCATTTATCCTATGATGGATTTCCACAGGGGAGAGGATTTGACTCATTTGATGTCTGTTTTTTACTCTTGCTGCCAAAGCATGCGGAATGTACATTGCTGGTACTTTTTGCTTTGTCTTTCTCCTGCTCTTTAAGCTTTCTGAAGTTAGGTATCTTTGGTATATGCTCTGTAGCTTGTATCTGCCATTTAGTTAAATAGTCAGGAAATATGTGCACACATCACCTCCCTTGTTTTGATTTTGGCCAATCAGAAGTTCTGGAGGTGGAATACTGAGGATGGTGGTAATGAGTGAAAGTTTTGCCTATCAATCACATTTCCTTCTTATTCTGAAGAGTCTGATATTTGGTGTATTTAATAGATTCTTATTTTTAAAAAAGATAATTTCAGTCAGGCACTGGTGGTGCATGCCTGTAATCCCAGGAGGTAGAGGCAGGCAGATCCCTTTGAGTTTGAGACCAGCCTTGTCTACGAAGCTAGTTCCAGGACAGCCAGGGCTACCAAAGCAACCCTGTCTTGAGAAACAAAAAGAAACAAAAACAAAAACTGAAAAGGATACTTTCTGCCTGATTATTCCTCTATATTTTTAAGGAAGAAGACAGTTGCTTAGCTAAAATAAAGAATGCATTGACAACCCTTAGCTGTGGTTCAACCAAACATGAAATATGCGCAGTCACTACTCTTTCCTTAAGGGTTTAATTTATAAAGAAGATGATGTTTTGAAAATTATGCCATTAACCCAGGCTTAATCTCATTTGGTTACATTACCAAGATGTAATTTAAAGGCAAATACCTAAGAACAATAACATTTAATGCATTTTTTTTTTTACTCCAAGCCTTAGGTTTCAGTAATTGTTTTACAAAACTTGTTTTTGTTTAGGCTCCTGCTATGTGGAGTACCTTTAAGAACTAGCTAGAGCTCTTTTACTCCTCGTTTCTCCACGTGTCCTTTCAATGTGTCCTCACTTCGTACCGTTAAGTGGCTTTCGGATTGGTTTCTGTTTCGCTCTGAAGCAAATATAAGCTTTAAAATCTTAGTTTTCTGTGTCTTTGTGTTTCTTGATCCCTGGTCTTTTCTTTTGTTTACATTTCCTGCCTAGAGCTAAGGCTGTTTACCCAATTTCCTCCCTGTGTTAGAAAGCACCCATCTGCTTCCGAATCTGTCTGTAGGCTCCCAGCCAGCTTGGTGCTGTCACCTGATCCCTATTCTTCAAGCTTCCTCATTTCCCGCTTAGACTTTTTACCCAGTTTCCCCCTCATGATCACAAACATGCTACCTGTAGCTGAATGCCACATCACGTGACAGCCATTTTCTCAGGGGTTGTCTGCATGCTCTAACCTCGGTACTTTGTATTTTCATTTTCTCTTGCTTTTTTTTTTTTTCCCCTTTCAGTTCTGCACCAGTTTCTTGAGTTATTCACAGTTGTGAAACAGCTCCCTAGACAGACCCTGTCTAGGCTCACTTACTCTTTCTTCTGTTGTTCATCCTTCATCACTGCTTGGATCCAGATAAGCCTTGCTTTGCTTCTTATGTCTTGCCAGTGACTAGAGAACTGGCGTTAATCTGCGGTACATTCACTGTGATCATATTCAAGTCTTAGAGAACTGTTCTTGGGGAATCTGCAGTAGTCATTCACTGTGATTGTATTCAACTCTTAGAGAAAGTGTTCTCAGGAAATAGTCATTCAAGTAAGTGCTTTTCTGTTACAAATATGTTGAATTATTTTCAGCTATAATAATACCATTGTACAATAGATCTTTAATCAAAAATGATTTTTAAAAAGTAGTACAGTGCTTCCTCAGTGGGGTCTTCAAGGAGACCTTTGGCATTCAGAATTTTTTTCCATGAAGTGGTCTCTACTCTTTGAAACTAGAACAAAGTTATGATACCTCTGCTATCAGCTCACTAACAACTTTTATAATTCTCACATATAAAAAGAGAAGACAGATTATTCTACTATGAAAAATGAAGACAAAACTTAATAAACAAATCAAATGCCCCTTTTTCTTAAGCTATTGTAGTAATAGGGTTGAGGGCAAAGAGGCCAAGGCAGGAGAGTAGCTTGAACCAGTAGCTAGTAGTCTGAAAATAAAAAAAAAAAGCATTTGGATTTGAAAGAGGATTTGGAGGTAGAGGAGAACATTCGCGGAAATGCCCGATGTCATGCCCTTGTTTTCTTCTCTCTCCAGTTCCGCTATGCAGGTTGGCTGGACAGGCTGTACATGCTGGTGGGAACTCTGGCTGCTATCATCCATGGAGTTGCACTCCCGCTTATGATGCTGGTGTTTGGAGACATGACAGACACCTTTGCAAATGTAGGAAACATGCCGCCAAACTTTACTGATGAAAGTAAGTATTGTTTGTGGTACTGATTGTGTTAGAAGCATGCACAAATCACTGACCTGAAGTCATTCTTTGTGGGGGTCTTACTAAGGGTGCACTACTGTGTTTAGAGGTCTAGGTGGTGGAGGGGGTGAACGCCAGCTCATCCTTGTACGGAGCAGCAGAAGATGATACAAGTATTAGAGTAACCAGTGGAAGTGTTGGCAGAGATGTGTAGAAATTGAGAGGTGATATCTGAAATATATATATATATATGTATGTATATATATATATTTACCTCATAAAGCTTCAGGAAGAAGCACAGGAATTTCATCAGGCCCTTGAATGGTAAGCTCGGATCCTCACAAGAGGCTGTGGCAGTCTGAACGTGAGTAAAGAGAAGATTCTAGGATGATTCTAAAGCATTTGACCTGAGAAACTAGAAGAACATCATCATTCTCAAATAAGTTGCAAAAGATGGAATTTCAGTAGATTTTAGCAGTAGTAAATGCCAGCAATTGTGTTCTGTATGTTGTTAAAGGTTAGGTCTTTAGGAGCAAATCCGGGAATGGAGAAATGGGACCAAGGAAAGGATAACAAGGTTTGTTAGAAAGGATTTGGGAGACAGCGTGAGATCCTGGGCTCAGGAAAGGTTTGATTAAGATAGGTGCAAGAGTTCATCCTCAATACCAGGAAGAGGTAGAGAATATTGTGTGCCAGAGTCTAAAGGCGAGTCCACGAGGAGGTGGTCTCTGAGGAAGCTCTCATGATAGCAGATCCTTTCCTTTGCCAGTGAGTTGTTCCAGTACATTCAGACCCAGGGTTTGCCAGAGACCTGTTTTGGCGAGGTTGTGGATGGGGTTGGGGGCTGGGGAAAAGGAAGTTAGGACAGGATCTGAGGGTGAATCAGGATGACTGCTACCAGCGCCAAATTGAAGAAAGACTACATCTTTTATACTTTTAACATAATGTTAAACCAGAGACTTGGGGCAGGTGAGCTGGAGTGTGGCTGAGGTCAGGGGTTGTAGAATATAGCATTAACCTTGAGAATAGGCAACGGAGGGCACCAGCCTTATGTTAATGAAGGGCTGCAAATTCTGATTGCTTTCTCAAGCAGAAACTTTCCTCAAGCTTTCAAGAGTGTGGAGATCCTTATCCAAATGCCTGACCTTGGAAAAGGACTTCTGGGGAGCAGACTGTACTACAATCTCCTAGTCTTACCATATGGGCCTGTTCCCTTCATAAAACTCACAAAGGGAAGATCCAGAAGTCGTAGTCTTTTCCCATTATACCCAACGTTCTGATTTCTGGATATTCTCTATGTTTATTAACTGAAATCTTGCTTTAATGGCCTCAGGCTCTGGATCTGGATTGTAGGGAGTTCATCCTTGGGATCAGGTGTGTCTAGTAAATCTCTAGCTTTCCTGTTCTTGGTTTAATTAGGAGGGCACAATGGGATTCTTGATTCCAAAGTGACAGGGATTTTTTTTCCTAAGAATTATTTTGTTTAGAGAGGCTATCATTGTACACATTTTCATCCTTTGCCAAAGCCTGAACAAAATCTCCTAAAGGGAAAGGCATTAATAGCGAGAATCACTAAAATTGAAAGTAAACAAGTGCTGGAGAAGGGTCTACAATGTTGAAACGCTGGACCTTTGTCAAGCAGCAATGGTCGCCATGCGGGCCACGCGAACGTATAGTACAGAAACCTGCATATATTATATCTTCATATGCATACACCTCCATGATAAAGTTTAATTTTTAAATTAAGCACAGTAAGAGATTAATAACCGTACTAATAGAATAGCTCTAACAATGTGCTACATTCAAGGCTGTGTGAACGTGGTCTCTCTGACTTTCTCAAAATAACTTACAGCGCTGTTCTCATCCCACTTCCTCTTGTGATGACGTGAAGTATTACAGTCTCGTGGTTGGCTGCAGGAAACTGAAACCACAAAAAGTCTAAATGTGGCGAAGAGGCTTCTACGCTTCAGTTTTCTCATGCTTTTGAAATTTGCTTCATAAGGGACCGAGCTGAGAGCGGGAAAGTGAACGGACTGTCGGGAGGATTTGTATGTTACACACCTGATTGGGAAAGGCAGGCTAATAGCGCTGGGATTCCATCTTTAGGTCACCTCAGCCAAGCAGGGTTGAATTCTTACTAAACCAAACTACTCCAGGACTTAGGACTCAATTTCCACACAGATGGGGAAATGCTGAGAAGGACGAGGCTATAGCTCAGTGACAGAGTGTTCGCCTAGCAATCATGAAGTCCCGTGTTCAGTTCCTAGGACTACCCCAAAAAGAAATAACTTCAATATAGATTGATAGTTCTTGACTTAGAAAGTTGCATCAACATTTGGAATCTTCTTTTTACTTAAGGCTAGGGGTTAGACCCAGGGCTTTGCATGGTGACACCTGGATTTTAAGTCTCTGGTGCATGTTGTGGACTCTTTCCCCTGGTAATGGGCATGTAAATACTAATAGGGGCATTTAGGGAATCTTTGGTAGTTGTCTTGGGTCCTGGAAACTACTTTGTATTCTTAAAGAACCTGTTGTTTACCTAAAATAGGGCTACCTCAATTCTGTTAATACAAATAATGGTTTGAGCTGGAAATTTTTATAGTAGCTCTGAGTAATGTAAAATTTATATGCTTTTTCTCCCACCTTCATGATATTCAAAGAGCTTGCAAAACATCCTGGGTCAACAGCAAAATGTCATATTTCCTTTGTAACATTCACCCAAGGAAAGTCTTGAGTAGTCTTGAGTGTTTTCTGAGTTCTTTAGATCCTGTACACCCTATGTTCTGCAGCAAACTGCAGAGTTGGCTTTCTCATTGGCCTCTAGTGGAATAATGTCCCCTTACAGAATTCTCTAGCAGTTCAGCAGACATAATGCATGCATTTATGCCATTCTAACCTTTCCCTGTGTTTTGTGAAGTCTGAATACAAACACTGCTCGACCAGTGTGAGAGGTGTTAACTAGACACGCTGTGGACACAGTATGAGGAGAGAGTAGTTGAAGTCAGCTGTCAATAAAGAAATTATTCACTTGTTGAAATTTGACCTAGCTTGGGAAGGAACTGCCAGGTGACTTTTTGAAGCTAGAAGAACTGACTTCTGATGAGCAACAATCAAGTGTGCACGCCAAGTTCATCTATTTTCTTTTGCTGCGACAAGTCCTGAGAGAAAGCTCGTAAAGGAAGGAACTGTCCCATTTATTCCTACCTAGTTTCGGAGATTTTATTTTAAGTTTAGTTGGATCAGTTGCTTTAGGGCATAGGAAAAGTAGAAATTATGGTAGCAAGAGAGCATGAGGAAGGTGGGCTGTTCACCTCATGATGGCCAGGAGATGCAGATAGAGGGACAAACACAGACACACGGGGAGGGGGAGGGTCCAGCCCAAGGCCAAGATACTCTTCAATGGCGCGCTCCCAGCGACTTTACTTCCCTCACCTCCCGTTTCCATTAGTTTCCCACCCGTTAAGATTCCCATCCTCCACAAGAATATCTTCAAAGTGTGAGTCCATCTGTGGATTAACCCACAGCTCAGGTTAGGGCTGCCATGACCCATTCATTTCTACCAGCAAAACATGAGGCTTTTTTTTTTTTTTTCAGGAACACCATATGTTATGTCATATTTTAAGTAGTGGTCCTTTTTCCAACTCTATCATGTCTCGTATTGCTTCATTTCTCCATCACCTAGACATGAATTGTTTCTGACCTCTTTAAGGACACAAGGGACCTATGTATAAGGGCAGACAGTGCTTATGGTCTGTTGTCCTTCAACATCAACTGGGCCATCATGACTCTTGCCGTATGGGTGTTGGGAGGCAGAGGCTTTGGAAGGTGATTAGGTCTTGGCGAGAGGATCAGCACCCAGTCAGCAACCAAGCTCTTCAGAGGGGAGAAGAGCAGAGGTGGAGATTATAGCTGCTATTTCAACTGTGTCGCTGGCAGTTAGCCCACTGGGCTGAGGCAGACTCCCATCAGGACAGATGTGTGTGTGGGGGGGAAATAGATCTCCTAGGCTAAAGGTCCAGTTTCTCCTGCTTGTGGCTGATGGAGCATCCTGAAATCCGGAATCATAATGTCTGAGAGATAAAAGAGGCCTGTGGATCATTCATGTCTGTGTCTTACTATGCCTTTTCAATCAGCAAACTCTCCAGTGGCATCTTAAGTGACATCTGTCATGAAAGCACACCAGGAAAAAGATCTCAAAGAGACAACCCAAACTTAAAGTAATAGAGTGGAATCCAGAGCTGGGTTCTCCTCTGTTGGCCTGTTCTTCTGGCACCTTCCACGACGCTGAGCTCCCTGTGAGAATGCAGCCTTCTCTTGCCCCAGCTACACCCTGTGTCTGCCGTCTTCCTCACCCACAGCTCTCTCTGCCTTGCTATGTTCTAATTCTTGCCTGCCTTTGTCCAGTTCTCCGCATGATGTCACAGTGAGTTTTTCAAAAGCAGAAAGCACTTGGGGGAGAGGGAGGGGACAGAAAGCACTTCGGTCCCAGTGTTTTCCCATAGGTGTAATAAGTTCAGTTTGCGTTCATTGGCTTGTGTGACATGCTCTGCTCAGCCTCACCTGTCCCATAAACCTCACTCTCCTGGACTTCAGCTCGTGGCTGACTTGGGGTGGTTCCGACCCCACCTGTTTGTGCACATCTGTCTTCTCACAGCGGTGGTATAGTGCTGTGCTTATGGGAGTCGTTACTCTGATCACCTGGTTCAGCGGTTGCTCTGCTTGTCTACTGTGACTTCTTGGGTGGGAAAAACACAAGGGATTAAGAAGGAAGTTTGTAGACAACCTTGGCTAGAGCTTTCAGCAGTATCACCCTGTCTCATGAAATTTGGGACTTAAAGGTGGACGAACTCCTTGCTAGAACAGTGGCCGGTGGGATTAGAAAGGGCAGCTCTCATTCTAGGCGTCCCCTAGTGCCTGGGAACGAGGCCATGTGAAAGGTGGCTTGAAAAAGACCCTTTTAATTTATATTTATAGGAAAGCTTTTCCTCCTCAGAAATTGCTTCTGGAATAGGAGAATTGTTTCATTACTTAAAAAATGAAATGGTTCCAAAACCACAGAGAAACCCTGTCTCGAAAAAAAAAAATGAAATGGTTAGTAACAAAAATAAAAAAGGATAATACTTCCACTATAACTTCAACTTCTCAGTAAGGAAAAATTACTAATGTATTCATGTCACATTTCCCCACCTTTTTAGTTCTTTATAATTTTTAAAATATTTATTTTTTGAGATTATAATGTAATTATATCATTTCTCCCTTTCCTCTTTCCCCCATATGGAGGGGGGAAGACCCATTCTTTTTCTCTTTCAAATTTATAGTCTCCATCTCATAAATTATTACATACAGACATAAATATTCCTAAATATATACATTCAAGTTGCATATTTTTCATTTATACTCTTCCTAAGTGCTCAGTAATTGACATTTCTAAACATTCTGAGGTGCTTCATTTGGATAAAACTGTAACATGATGTAATCCCTAAATGGCATTTAGTCATGCGGTGTACACGGTGAAGTTTCTCTGGGGTCTGACTTGAGTTTACAAAAGGCTGTCCTCACCACATAGAATCCGGTAGATTATTATCATGTTTATATTATGTGACTCTTAACAATACAAGGAGAAGAATTCTTTGATTAGCTATTTTTGATAAATTGTCTGGCATGGGTGGTGACTTTATTTATTTATTTATTTATTATTTTGGTTTTTCAAGAGAGGGTTTTTTAATAGCTCTGGAGCCAATCCTGGAACTCGCTCTGTAGACCAGGCCTGCCTCTGCCTCCCCAGTGCTGGGATTAAAGGCATCCATGGTGGTGGCTTTCTGAGACTGCTTTCCCATCTTTGGAACAGGCTGGGTCACAGTGATACAACTAGCTGAGCATTGGGACACAAAGAGCAAACATCGCCCAGTTTTTCTCGGTTTCCACCCAGAGGAATGAGAGGGGCCAGCTAGAAGCGGTCATCCTTTCATTCTTCACTGACTTAGAAATTTAGTCATGTGTCGGTTGCTACGGAATTCTGTGACAGGGTGAGCCACTATGCTACGGCGAAGTCATTTGAGAAGGGGTCATGTTTCGGCTTATTTGTGAAGGAGGTGTATTTTCCTGGAGGGAAAAATAGCAAACAACAATCAGGTTAAGAAAGAAAATGAAAAAGCGCTGAGGAAAAAGTAGGTAACGTAGACAGAATTGGAGAACAATAAATTCCTTGGTGTGCTCAGAAGTGGGTTTCTATGGAATCAGAGAGAGTTCCGGAAGGTGGGAATGGCAAAGGGCTGTGAGTTGAGTCTGGAAATTCGCATAATGAATGTGATAGTTCAGAATCCAAGTGTGAAAAAAAAAACCCTTTTATTTTATACAACATAGTTTAAATTCTGAGTCCCTCTTTATCTAAAGTGGGATAGCTTAGATGTTTTAGTGTACCTCTCACCTGAGACCAGCATATCTGTGTTTTCTAGACTGATGGGGATTGAACCAAGGCTTAGCACATGGGCGGTCTCTACCACTGAGGTACACTCCAGCCCACAACATAGCTGCAGATGGGAGTGCCAAATGATGTTTGACACCATCCACACAGGAACTGACTCAAGCTTTTTTGTTCCCCTCCCTTGTGAGCACTAGAATCTGAATTTCCCCAGGTCCAAGGAGGCTCGGGGTGCTGTCCTGTGGATGGCTTCTCAATACACTATGTAACCATTCCATTTCTGAGGTCTCACTCTGGGGTCTGCGTAGGTCTGTTCTTTTTGTTTGTTTGGTTTTTTATTTATTTATTTATTTAATTTTTTTTTGGGGGGGACAGGGTTTCTCTGTAGCTTTGGAGCCTGCCCTGGAACTAGCTCTTGGAGACCAGGCTGACCTCGAACTCACAAAGATCCACCTGCCTCTGCCTCCTGAGTGCTGGGATTAAAGGCGTGCGCCACCACTGCCCGGCTAGAAGTTTCTTTATGGTACAGGATTGTTTTGGTTATCCTGGCTTTTTTGCTTTTCCATATGAAGTTAAGTACCATTCTTTCGAGGTCTGTAAAGAATTTTGCTGGGATTTTGATGGGCATTGCGTTGAATCTGTAGATTGCTTTTGGTAAGATCACCATTTTTACTATGTTAACTCTACCTACCCAAGAGCATGAGAGATTGTTGCACTTTCTGGTGTCTTCTTCAATTTCTTTCTTCAAAGATTTAAAGTTCTTGTCATACAAGTCTTTCACTTGTTTGGTTACAGTTACTCAGAAATATTTTATGGTCTTTGTGGATATTGTTAAGAATGATATTTCTCTGATTTCTTTTTCAGCCCATTTACATCTGTGCAAAGGGGGGGGTACTGATTTTTTGAGTTAATCTTGTATCCTGCTACATTACGGAAAGTGTTCATGAGTTGTAGAGGTTCCTTGGTAGAATTGTTGGGGTTGCTTATGTAAACTATCGTATCATAGTTTATTTCTGTATGCTGGGTTTTAATGGGAACCAAAGAAACATCAAGTGTTTGTGTTTGTTTTGTGTCGTTCCAGTTGCATACAACGCTTCAGACATTCTTAGCAGCCTGGAGGATGAGATGACCACGTAATTATACATTATCCTTATTGCTATTACTCTTTTCTGCATTGCTATAGTTACGGTAATGTAGTTATAGTTTGCATTATAATAGTACGATTAGAAGTTTTGAGACTATTAGTTTTCTTGGGGAAGATCCATTATAGATATTTTTTAAAGCAAAGTGTTTATATCATAAAATGTTCTAAGTTAAGTTTGAACTTCAATTAGACTTACGTATGCACTTGCAAAGATGAAATAACATATGCAGGGGAATTAGAGGAGTGGAAAGCCCCTTAGCTATATTTGAATTCACAATAATTGTTTTCAATCATTCCCTAGTGAGTAGTTTGCTTCCTGGCTGTTTCCAGTCATGATATAATGATAAGTAAGATAAGTAAACAGAAATTCTTTAAACTCATGCTAAATAGGAAAAAAAAACAACATCCCAGAAGAAATAGAGTCACTCTGGCCTTAAATGACATGGGCAGACTTTTTATTTTCTTAATGATTTATGCACATTGACATTTATTCTGTGGGCTAGCTTGTAACAGATGTACAAAGGTATGTGTTGGTGAATCAGATAATAATGGCTCTGTACTTCACTATGATTTCTCTGATAGTTGTAAAGAAAGTCAAGATACAATAACATTTGGAAAGATGAAAATGAAATGCTTATAAATATTTACTATAATGAGGCATATTTTTAATATAGGGGAAAGTCTACTCTCTTTAAAATTTACTAGTCTTAAAATGCATTACAGTAAAGCACATCAGTATTTCATCATGTATAAGTTCTACTTGTTAAATGGAACTTGCTTTGAACTATTTCTTGCATTATCATTTACACAGTAATTAGTTATACAGTTATCTATTAACTAAAATTTAACATTCCAATAACATCCTTAATAAGTATAGTTTATAAGATACAGCTTGAATGATGACTTGCTTAGCAACATTCTGATAGGTTGCTCTTGAAGTTGCAAACATAACATAAAAGGCTAGTTGTGTGTTATACATCTATTTTTAAACCTAGTACTTAGTGTAAGCATTCTTATTCAAAGATGGCAAGTAAAGAACATTTTAAAATATGCCAGATGGCATCCTTTAGTTAATTTTAGGATATTTGCTTTGAAAGAGGTGTGGTTTGATGGCAGAGCATTTTCCTAGCATGGATGAGACGTGAGATTCCATCACAAACACCAGAAAAACAATCACAAGACACAGGGTTTCTATTTAACCTACATTCAGAGTGCTTAATGAAGCCATGGGATCTTTAGCTATCGAAACACAGCAAGAAAACTTTTGCTCAACTTTTCCTGGTTAAATGTTTCAACTGGGAGGGAAGCCATTTGATATTGAACATTTTAGATTAGCTCTCAATAGCCAGTTGAGTAGATAACACAGGATCACTATCAATTTTATTTGTCTGTCGTCTTCAAGTTCTGCTAAACTTATAGTTCAAAAGAGCAGGACACCATCTCTGCCTCTTGATTCCACTTTCTAATAAGTCCATCACATCTTTCTCTCTCCCACGGTGCAGTTGATACTGATGTAATAAAAGCAGACAAGACTCCAACTGTTCATGTTAAATTATGCGCCTGTATACTGACGATCTTTCAAAATCACTGGCATCCTCTGAGTAGTTACTGTGCACCAGACCCTGGCCAGAGTACATTTCAGACATATTGTATTTCTTCTATTTTTTTCATAATATAATGGAAGCTGGAGTTATTAAGCAGCCAGCCTAAGTTTACATTGTAGTTAAGTGAAGAGCTGGGATTTTCCCCAGTGCAGCGACAACTGTTAACCATTCCTCTACGTTAGTACAGACGTAGTTGCACGCTGACATGGCAGCTCTGCTCCTTACAGCCCCTTCCTGTCTGTTAAGGATGGTGGGATCCCCAGAGAGCTGAAGAAGTAAGACTCAGCTGTGTTCAGAGGGAAGGACTGGTCAGAAAACAGTACTACGGTGTTCTTGTTTTGCAGGTACGCCTACTATTACACGGGGATTGGTGCTGGTGTGCTCATAGTTGCCTACATTCAGGTTTCATTTTGGTGCCTGGCGGCTGGAAGACAAATACACAAAATTAGACAGAAGTTTTTCCACGCGATAATGAATCAGGAGATAGGCTGGTTTGACGTGCATGACGTTGGGGAGCTCAACACCCGGCTCTCAGAGTGAGTACCTAGTTTCATGCTGAAGTCAGATACACTTTTGTTTTCAATGCTGTGAAGTAGATACCAGCACCCTGTTAGAAGTGTAGGTGCGTCACTGCGCAGAGTAAAGCCTTGTGAGCAGTGCCTGTGTCTTACACAGCTTCCTGTTCCCAGTGCACTGGCAGAGATGGGGGGTGGAGCTGCTGCTTGCCTGGCACTCAGTGAGGGACCAGACTGGCAGAGTCAAATGCAGAGTGAGCAGAGCAGTGATTGCAGGGAGCAGCAGTGTGCTCTGTCCAGCCCCACTGAGCACCATCTTGCTGGATCTCCAGGGTGTCCTTGGAAGACATTGGAAAGAAGGAGGGAGCTCTTGTCAGTCAGCCTCGGCTTCACAGAAGACACAATGAACTGAACGATTCGTGTTCGTAGAGAACAGTGTCATATACACACACATCTCTGGGCAGTTTGAAATCTCACAGTCTTAGACATCCCATGTCTATATTCTGAGGTCACGTTGGGCATAAAATACTGTTCAAACCTCCTACTAGAAATGACAGCTTTCCTTCATCACGGCTCCCCAGATGAATTTGCCCAGGGCCAGGCAAATACAAAGATCCTAGGCACAAGTTAATGTGGTCCTTCCCAACAAAACAGCGCTAGTCTCAGTAGAAAAATCCTGTGTTTGCAGTTCTGACATTGCTTGTAACACAATCTTTCTTCTTTTAGTGATGTCTCCAAAATTAATGAAGGCATTGGTGACAAAATTGGAATGTTCTTTCAGGCAATGGCAACATTTTTTGGTGGTTTTATAATAGGATTTACTCGTGGCTGGAAGTTAACCCTTGTGATCTTGGCCATTAGCCCTGTTCTTGGACTGTCAGCCGGCATTTGGGCAAAGGTAGGTGAAGTCTGTGAGTCCAGATTTTAAGCTCTTTCCCACGAATCTTGGAAGAATCTTTGAACCATAAAAACCCTGGCTATGAATTTTATATGTGATTTCACACTTTCTGTTAAAACATCAGCAGGCTAAGTTGAGATAACCCCACAGTGCTTCATGCTGTCCTTGGCTGTGAGAGTATTTGTAAAAAGAAATTAAAAAGAGGGAAGGAAAATTTAAGCTTATCCTTGACCTTCATGGGAAAAGATGTGACCCCATAAAGTCTGTAAACATCAATCTTGATTTCTTTTCTATTGCTATGGAGAGACACCAAAGGAACTTATATAAGGAAGAGTTGGGGGCTTTCTTACAGTTTCTGAGGGTTAGTCCATCACCATCATGGCAGAGTACCTGGCAGTGGCCCAGGTAGGCATGGCGCTGGAGCTGGAGCTGGAGCTGGAGCTGGAGCTGGAGCTGAGGGTTCCATGTTTATCTGCAAGCACAAGCAGAGTGGGGTGTGGAGCCCTAACTGGGAATGACATGGGTTGTTTATTTTTATTTTTTTATTTTTTGGTTTTTCGAGACAGGGTTTCTCTGTGGTTTTGGAGCCTGTCCTGGAACTAGCTCTGTAGACCAGGCTGGTCTCGAACTCACAAAAATCCGCCTGCCTCTGCCTCCCAAGTGCTGGGATTAAAGGCGTGCGCCACCCCATCATGGAGACACAGACGTTCTCTTCACTCCATCCACGTGTCTCTTATAATTTTGTGATGAATCTTCCGTGTCTGGGTCAGCATGTAATTTATTTTATGAAATCATTTGATATAAGTGTAGCTATATGATGGAGAGATTGGCTCAATATTTAGATTTTCGTGAGGTTACATGTAATAAAAATTATAAGAAATGAAAATCCAACCAAAATGAAGCCTTACACATAGTAAGTCAGGCTGTAACTGGTGAGAAATTTTTGGATCACCCCCTTTCTAATGGGTGCTGTTTTGTTATTGCAAACCGTAGCTCCCTTTAGTAGGCATTTTCTAGGTTCACCAGATACAGCTGAAGCATAGGCATTTGCTTATTTAGTAGAAAGAGTAACTGAAGTCCTGAATGCTGCTGATTTGCTACTCGGGTGTTACCGATGGTTATCAGCCGAAAGCTGGCAAAGCTCCTTTGTCTTAATTGATTTTTCTGTTTAGTAGAACATTGATCAAATTAGGTGCAAATTCTTCACAACAGAACTTAATGAAAAACTAAAGTATATTGATATCTACTCTAAGTTGGGAAAGCAGACCATTACTTAGTTTTTTAATAATTAATCTTGCATTGCTTCTGATACTATTTATTTAATAAAGGGAGACCTTGGTTATCTGTTGAGACTTTTATTTTAATCTATGCTCTTTGATAATCTTTTGATATGATTTTCTGCATTTTTTTAATCTTGGGTTTTGACCATATTAAAAAGTATATGTGTCCTGCTTCCCTAATATGGACAAAATGTCTAGAATGTGATAGAAAGGCCCCTGTCATGCCCTCAACCAGGAAATGCACACAAACACCCCGCCCCACACACACACTTTACTGATCCACACACTGAGGTAAATAAGATATTGGAATTATCAGAGTGTGATTTTAAAATAACTACCATAAAAATGTTTTGTTTGTTTAAATTCCTTTAAGGCAGCAGCCAAAACTCATCAGCTTAAAAAAATAGGAAAATATTTAAAAGATAAAAAACAATGTTAGAGAACTGAGAGAGATAACAGCAAAAAGAATTATGCTGGAGAATTGGTTCAATCTATGCAAATGGAAAGTATAGAATATAGAATATTTAGAATAAGTGAATCTGAAAGACAGAAAATGAAGAGAGCCTCAGGGTCATGTGAGACAAAATATTCATATCATCACCATGAATCTCACAAGAAAAGGAACAGCATAGAGCTTTAGGAAGAATTACAGATACAGTGACTGACAAACACAATAATCAGATGCAAGAAATTAATCTGATCCCAAGCAGGATAAAAAATCAAAGAAATCTGTAACAGACTACATCATAACCAGAAGTTATCAAACAATAATATCAAAAGGAATAAGAAAGTTGTTTGATAAATCAAAGAAGGAAAAAAATAATCCTGCATTGGGGAATTTGACTGATAGCAAGGTAAATCCAGCTGTATATAAAAATAATTATGTATTATGACCACATGAGATTTATTTCAGCTATATAATAATGATATGGCACTTGAAAAATCTATGTAATCTGCCCTACTATATGCTAATGAAAATAAGTGATCATATCATCTAGCAGAACCTTTGACATTATCTAGCACTCCCTGATGTTAACTCTCAGCAGGTAAGAATAGAAGAATGTCACTTCAGTCCTGCAGAGGCCACTTAGGCAACCCCCATAGATACCTGAATAGTAAGCAGGTATCTTTGCCACCAGATTGGGAATAAAACAAGGAAATTATTCTGACTTCTTTTTCATTGAAGCCCTGGAACTCTAGCTTCTGCTCTCAGGCAAGAGAAGTAAAAAGATACATATAGATTGCTGAGGAAGAAATAAAACTGTGGATAACATGATTTTCCATAGAATTCCAAGGAGTCTACAAAGTAACCTACATAAAAACTGTATAGAAAGATCACAGAATACCAGATCAACTGCATTTTTTTTCACAGATAGTGATGAATGTGTAGAAATTAATGCTGAAATAATACCTTTCACAATCATTCTGATATAATATAAAACTCAGGAAATTTCTTGAAAATATAAGATCTGCATCTTGAGCTGGGCAGTGGTGGTGGTGCACACCTGTAATCCCAGCACTCAGAAGGCAGAGGTGGGAAGATCTCTGTGAGTTTGAGGGCAGCCTGGTCTGCTAGTTTCAGGACAGCGATGGCTTAGGGCTTCTACGCAGAAACCCGGTCACAACAAACAAGAAAGGATCTGCATATTGAAAATTATTGAATGTTGAGAGGAAATCAAGGAGGACTGAACAAAGAGACACAGTGTAGTCATGATGTAAAACTCAGTGTAAAAAAGTTACCAGTTTTTTCTAAACTTGGTGAAGTAGTTGTGCACAATACTTATTTAGATGGTTGATAACTTTGTCATTCCTGTCCAGATGGCAAGCTTGGTCCTTTCTCCATACAAACTGATCCAGCTGTCGTAATAGTTCAGATGTTAATTCAAGCTTTGACCACATGCACTCAGACTTGAATCCTGGGCATTCCACTTGCTATCTAATTACTTAACCTGTCAAGTTTCCATTTCCTTCTATATAAGCTAGGAAAACCCATTTCCCTTTATAATTGCAAAGACTAAATGAGATCCTATGTGTCTGAGGCAAGTAGGAATGTGTTTATAAGTGCTCAGAAATCAAACAGACAGATCAAAGAGCATCGTTCAAACAAAACCAAACAAAAAACAAAGGAAAAAATGTTCCTGGTAGATGACAATGTGCTCTTTCTCCAGGCATCACCAGCAGAGGAAACTGTAGCTTGGTTCTCTACATTTTTCTAGTCTCCCACCCAAACACTTCTGAAACAGGGTATTGCTAAGAGTTGCTGGGAATACCGCATGTCCTAGCCATAAAACCATTTTCTATAATGGCTTATGATTATATTGTGGTAAATGGTAAATGTTTTCTTTTCTGAAATTTAACATCTCCCAAAGTTCCAATTGTTGCTTTGATGATTATCCATGAAATACTCAGTAGGAAATTTTGTGGTTCATCTAATTTGTTTTATATCTTCATTGTCAAAAAATAATGGAAGAAAAAGGAACTTGAGATACGTTACATGGTGATACACACACACACACGCTAATAGAATGTCATGGCCAAAGACAACTGAAAGATTTTAATTATTCACAAGTATTAATATTCAACCAGCATGTTTATTTATAACTGCTAATACTATAATAATCTTTTATATATTTTTAAAACAGATATTATCTTCATTTACTGATAAAGAGCTTCAAGCATATGCGAAAGCGGGAGCAGTTGCCGAAGAAGTCTTAGCTGCCATCAGAACTGTGATTGCATTTGGAGGACAAAAGAAAGAACTTGAAAGGTTTGAAGTTTTTTTCAAGTTGATAGAAATATTAATTTTGTGATTCCACATGCCATTTAGGATGGCAGTGTTAAATATGATATTTTTTTCATTTTCTTTTTTTAAAAAGAGTCTCTAGAATTTTTTCATTTTATTTATTTATATTTTAATTTTATGTGCATTGGTGTATTACCTGCATGTAT